GCCGCGGGGCGGGGGCGGGACGGACGGGACGGGACGGGACAGGCGGAGGCGGTGCCGCCCTGCGCGGGGCACCGGGAGCGGGGGGAGGCGATGCGGTGCCGGCCGCCCCCCGAGCTGTGCGGGGCCGTGCCCCTCCGCCGCCTCTGCCGCCAACCTCCCCGGGTTGTCCGGGCGCGGCGGTGCCGGGGGGGCCCTGCGGAGAAGCTGTTCCGAGGACGTTCCTGTCACCGGGCTCGGCGGCTGCGAACTTAGTGTGGGGACCGCAGCCCCCCGCCCCTGCCCGCTGTGCGAGTTTCCTTCCACTGGGCTCCATCCCCCCTGGGGGACCCCCTCCTCGGGGACGAGCGGTGGGGGACCCCTCTCTGGCCGTACGGGAATCTTGAGGTATTTGTGCTCTCGTTTCGTCTTTACGCGATGGTGGTGTTTTTGCACGTTTGAAGTTTCTCATTAGTTAGCGGCGAGATACGGATCTGTACGTGAACGCGGAGTTCACTCAATCGGCTGTATTTTGGCACATCTCAGAGCTAGACAAGACTATTTAATTTGCAAAGTCTCGCTTCTGCAGCTACATGTAATTTTCTCCTCCTGCTAAAAGTCCTTTGGAAGCGCTGCAGAAATGTAATGAATATGCAAAGCAGCCAGCTCTCAAACCCAAATCCGGTTTGTCTTCAGAGACTTTTCAAAACGCCCAAAGTGATCAGGATATATTATGAAATAATCACTTTTGCCTAAAATACAGGGATGTGATGTTTCACACTTTCTCCTTGTGCGTATTCCTAATTTAATTGGTGACAGCTCAAATAGAATTCACCTGAAATAAAAATCTCTAAAAATCGGTTAGAGTTGCTCAGTTGGTTTTACTTCTGGTGCAACCTTAAAAAGCAGGAAAGCTGCTCTTTAAGTCCTTGTCCCATGCCTACATCTCATAGCTCCTGAGTTTTCCTTCTCCCAGTACTTCACCCACGTCCACCACCTGCCCACTTCAGCCGCGTATCTTCCTGCCACCTCCGGGAAGTGTGCAGCTTTGAACTCGGAGCAGGCAGAACGGGAAGGAACGGGTGTTTTCCCGTGGTTAAAGATGTTGAGAGGGGCTGCTGCTGCCGCTGCCCTTGTCTTGATAGAGGGAGCAGGAATAGGTTGTGATTCCTGCACTAGTTGTTTACAAATATTTAAGAGTGCTCTGTGGTGCCTCTGTGGTTTTTGTTTTCCTTTTTCCCAGGAGTTATGTTTGTGGTCAGAGTTAAAGTGACATCCAGCGTTTGGAGAGGAGGGCATGGCATGTGGGGTGATAGGCTGTGGATGTGAATGAGGTAATGTGGAAAATCAGAATGCATGGTTATGGGTTGCAAGGGCTGAGTGAAAATCTAACTAGTGATTTCCTGGTTCTTCCATGGCTATAACAGTATGCAGCCTTGCATATATTTTAAACAGCTTTGTCTGCTACAGGGAGTTTCCTGGCTTCTTTGTTTGTTCTGTATGTGAAAAATGTAAGAGGTGGCTACTCTTCCTCGTGTGTTCCCACACTTCTCACTGGTATGGACAATGAGCAAGGAAGGGGGAGAAGTAGCAGCTCAAGTGCCATGGCTGTATTTATGCATTCCTGCCTTTTGCCAGAAAAAGGGTTTGTAGTTGCCCATACCTTAGATCTCCTTGCTCACTCCTGAGGTGGCAGATCGTTCTGGTTGGCTTCTTAAGAGTTTGCCAGAGGGCATGACCACACTGTTACTCCTGAACCAGCTTGGTTTGGGATCTCAGATTAGAAAGCCTAAGACTTACCGAGTAGGCTGCAGAAGAGGGGGAGCACTCATGGTGTCCCAGGGTCTTACTGAGTGAGGAGGGATACACAAGCCTTCTGGCTGTGAGCTCGCCCCTTGTCTTCTCGTTGTGTAACCTCTGCTCATGCTCACCCTTTACCCCGAAAGCACGGTCCCTGATGCACTAGGAAATGAGAACAGCAGTGGTGGAAAGCAGTACTTTAGGTCTCTTAGATGCAGCTTAAAGGTCACCCGAAAGATGTGGGGCGCTGAGACTTGAGTGGGTGTGCTAAGGCTTTGCGTAGGTGAGCAGAGCCAGCAGCAACAGCAGTGCCGTGTGTCCTTCGGGTTAACGGTCTCCTCTGATTCAGGCAGTGCTGTGCTACTTCCTCAGCAACCCTTGCTTCCTGGCTTGTCCTCTTCCTAAGCCTCATCTTGCTCCTGCAGGTCGACTAGCATACCTGCTTTTCTGGCTTTGTAGGCTGTGAGCTGACCAAACCAGGGCACTGGACCGGTAATGTCTGGAGAAGCAGCGGAGCTGGCGGCCTGGTGAGGCTGTCTTGGAAAGGGGAGGGAGCCTTCCCCTTGTAAAAGTTTAGAAATACTTGAGATGGTGTGGAGGTGAGTGCTGGAGGAGCTCTGTATAATGCAAGGAGAAAAGAGGTCAAAAGGAGGAGTGTTTGAAAATGCCTTCTCTGCAGAAATCAGTAGCAGTCGTAAATGGAAAATTTGCTTGGCCCTCTCAGGAGTCACTGTACTGAATTTGAAAAGCAGAATGGGTCTTTAAAGTACAAAACAAAGGGATTTCAGTCTTGCTGTAAATGCAAATCTCAATGCAGTCTGAACCGTGGACTCACTACTGACGCCTCCATAGTACATATTAATCCAGTTTTATCTGTCATGAGGAGATTTGTTGATTAGGAACCTCCAGGTAAAGGCTGCTTGTGGACTGTTTCTGCTCTTCCAGCCTGTGGGCTGGAAAAATGAGTTTAGTTCCATGGCTTGCCTGGAGCTCCTGGGCTGTGTGTAATTTCACTGCCACCATCCTCCCAGGATTCAATTTAGCTCTCTGCACAAAGTCCATTTATGTAGATTTATGTATATTTAGTGCTAAGATGAATGGCTTTCCTAGGAAATGGGCCTTTGTTTGAAAGTTATATAAGTTAATTTGTGGTATTGATGGTGAAAACTCAGCATCATTTGAAATGAGAGGGTAGGAACAGCTTACTGAAATGCCACTAAACCATAAGCTGTTAGTTTTGTTTGTCTTGTCAAAGTTTTTCTGGAATGGGAGGATTTTTCTAAGAAATTCTGTGAAATAAGAACAATTTTTTAAAATATTGAATTATATGCCCTTGAAAGGGTTACTTTTAAGTGATTTTCCTAATTTTCTGTGTTTCTTCTTGTATCTTTGAATGTAGACAATATTTCTGAAGTTAACTGTTATTTTCAAAAGTTAAACTGTATTTCTAAAATATGTAGCTCTTAAATGTTTCCAGTTTCACCCACCCTGAGTTCAAAAGTGTGTAGTTTATTAGGTCATAAGCTCACCAGCAACTCCTTGAGGTAGCTACTCAGATCTGAACAGCTATTGCTGTCCCTTCTGTTTTACAAATATCAGTGTACAAGGAATTATATGTTCAGCTGATGGTTTGGGGGTTTTGTATTTTTTGTGTGTTTTGGTTTTTTTCCCCCAGGGCTCCTATCTCTCTTCCTGAAGAGATTGATTGTAGGTATCCTGTTGCTGCCATATACATTTTTGGAAAGTTTCTGTTGGCCTCCTAATTTTATTTTTCTCTAGTAGAGTTTAATCACAGTTTTGTAGCAAAAACTTGATCTTTCAGATGCCTCCTGAATAGAAGCTGAGCTCTGTTTCTTACATCGGTATGTTTATTTTGAGTTGCTGAAGAAAAGGCTCGTATTGTAACAAAACAGAAAACAAGCAACAAACCAATACAGAAAAGTACACACTGTAAAAATAATTTGTCTTAGTTATACTTTTGATTACCAGTCTCCCACTGCCCCTTAGCATACGTATATTCTTGCATCACAGTCTTGGATGGAGGGGAGTTGCACATTATTAAAATAGCTTCCCCCCAGTGTGTGCAAATCGTTCTGTAGGTGTTGTTTTTTAGGTTACTACTGTGTGCTTTTTCAAGTGCAATGTGGTAGTAGAGCCAGAGCAATGTTAGCAGACCAGCTCAGTGTTTTAGTTTTGCTACTTTCCCAACTAACTATAAATTACATGCTTTAGACCTTATTGATTGGTGGTTTAGCTTAATACAGTAATACTGGAAATTATCCGCTTGTGGTTGTGAAAGCCATCATAGAGCGAAGAGGTGTGTGTGTGAGAGGTCTGAGAATTCTCTGAAGAGTTTATTATTTGTGGTATAACTGGATAACAGGGCTTATGAAGGTGAAACTTGTGCAAATGTTTTTTTCCTGCAGCTGTAAGGGTAGAATGCTGCTGTGATTTGTCTGTTGGGAGCCCCTAAGTGCAATTACTGTATTGCTGAGTGGTGTTTCGTGTCATAAGTGTCAATGACACACAGCCCTGTTAGCAAATGGAATGGGCAGGCAAATTCAAAGTAAGGTTTTTAAAGTATATGTGTTGGAATCCATCAGTATTTTTGCTTTGTCTGCAGCTGTTGCTGCCATAATTAAAATCAGCATAGGCATTAGATCCTTTTTATGTGAAATGGGGAAAACTGTAGAAATACTTGGTTCTGAAATATCCTTTTACTGGCCCAGCTTTGTTAATCTTCTGGGGTTCTGTGAAGCACTTGTTCTTCTTTGCTTTCCTTTTACAGCCCTCCATACTGCTACGGATGAAAATGATTTGAGAATTAAGAATTGAAACTGAGGAGCTTTTTTCTTCGAGGAACCAAGTATTCTGTAATTCTTCAGATTGTTTTTTGTGATCATTTTGAACTGATGATATAAAAGAGAGTTGAGTAGAAGCAGTGAGCAATATTGACTGACATTCTTGGGAGCAAACATGAAGTGGGAATGTTGAAAACAAGCTGGCTTCATGTTTGAATCATCTTTTTTGTAGGTGCATTGCAACTATCTGCCGATTTGTTTTTTCACTAATATTTCCATTAAGTTAACTAGTCAAAAAACTCCTTTTTCATTTCCACGTGTGTTGTTATGATGAGAGAAAGAAATCCTGTCCTCCGAGTTGTCAGCCTTATGGAAATATGGGCTGTGGGGGTAGTGCATCCAGATGATGGTGTTTGGTGCTCATCTCCTCTCTGTTTTTACTGTTTGCAGGTTCTGTCCTCCGTGATGGCGTCAGCTCTACCCAGAACCCTTGGGGAATTGCAGCTATATCGAATACTACAAAAAGCAAATCTCTTATTCTACTTTGATGCCTTCATTCAGCAGGGTGGTGATGATGTCCAGCAGCTCTGTGAAGCAGGTGAAGAGGAGTTTTTGGAGATAATGGCTCTTGTAGGCATGGCTAGCAAGCCGCTTCATGTCCGAAGGCTGCAGAAGGCTTTGAGGGACTGGGTCACAAACCCTGGTCTGTTTAACCAGCCTCTCACCTCCTTGCCCGTCAGCAGCATTCCAATATATAAGCTGCCAGAAGGGTCTCCTGCGTGGCTGGGGATATCCTGCAGCAGTTATGAAAGGAACAGCAGCACCAGAGAGCCTCACCTGAAGATTCCAAAATGTGCTGCCACAACGTGTGTGCAAAGTGTGGGCGCAAGCAAATCCGATGTGGTGGGGAGCTTATCGCTGCAGAGCGGCAGCGAACCGAGACTCTGGCAGGGACACCACACCACAGAGAGTGAACATAGTCTTTCCCCGGCTGACCTTGGCTCTCCAGCTTCACCAAAGGAAAACAGCGAGACCCTGGATGCCGCTGCTGCTCTGTCTGTTGCTGAGTGTGTAGAACGTATGGTTCCCTCCCTGCCCAAAAGCGACTCCAATGAAGTCAAGGAGTTACTGAAAACAAATAAGAAACTGGCAAAGATGATTGGTCACATCTTTGAGATGAGTGACGATGACCCTCACAAAGAGGAGGAGATCAGAAAGTACAGTGCAATATATGGCAGATTTGACTCAAAAAGAAAGGATGGCAAACATCTCACCCTCCACGAGGTAAAACACCTTGGGCGACACTGGGCTTCCTTCCCCTATTTCCTGCACCTTCTATGAGATGCTGTTCACAGGGTGCACTTCTTGTGAGGGCACTTCTTGCTGGATGATGAGACTTGTATTTTGACTGCTGTAGGCAGGGCTGCCCTGGCACAGAAGCCTCGGGTGCAGTACAAGTACCCTTCTGTGGGTGTGTGTGTACATGTGTGCACTGATTTCAGCGTGGTGTCATCAGACTGCTCGGCCACCGCTGCAGCCTGTCAGGCAGAGGGTTTAAACAGTTTGGCACTGAAATAGCAAACCAGTATTGCACTGAGCATGGCCCTTGGGGTTCTAAACATTTGGCACGTTTTCAAGGGGGTCCTGTGTTTCCTTGCAGCTTTGAGAGTAGATTAGTTGGTTGGAAGATCAGTAACTAAAATGGCTTGTGTCTGGTGTGGTTACTACCCTCTGCTGTCTTTCCTCACCTCGAGACCCTGCTCTGTAGCTTGTGCCCTTGAGGCTAAAAGGATTCTGCCAATGAGGTTCCTAAACCCAGTGTGATGGGGTTTTTTGGGTTTGAATTGGGATGAAACTCACCTCTACAACCTGTGGGGTTTTTTGGGCACAATGGTCGTAAGCCAGTCAAGTGAAGTTCCTCCTGTGTGAGGAGGAAGGGGAAGGACTGTCCCCAGTATTGATGGATGGCTGTAATTTGAAAGTTTGTCCTGAGCAGCATCTCTTCCCTCTTGTCCTTGAAAGTCCATGCGGGCCTCCTTCGCTTCTCTTCTGGCATTCTTGAGGCTCGCACTGCATATGTTGTAACGCAATAGGTGTGTCTGTGTGGGGAATAGTTTCCTAGTGCCAGAGTACAGTACAAGAGGAGAACAAACATTAACTCAAAGCAGTGCCAGAACACTGTTGATATGAATGCTGCATCAGCATTTTTACAGTTAACACTGATTGCAAAATTTCAGTTGGATTTAAAATTTGGCATGTAAGGCTTAGCTCCCAAAAGGAAAGGCAATGTTTATGTTACAGGAGTGCCAAAAAAACTGTACTGGCTTTAGCCTTTTTTTGCTTCAAGAAGAAGTTTTGTAGGTGTGTGATCCATAGCATAAGACTGAGTTCTCTTTATGCTTCTGAGGAGAAGGGCAGAAGGAAACAAGGCGTATTTCTTTACATTTTTGTTTATGTATTTACATTTATAAGGCAACTGCACATCACCGGCAGTGACTTGACAAGGGCTTTTACTATAGACTGGGGAGACACTTCCACAGTAGTGAGCCACATTTCTACCACACAGTTCTAGTTGTGCAGCTTTCACTTACGTGCCTTGTGGCTTTATATTGAACACTTCTAATTTGTGAATTCATCCAGTGTACAAAACCAGATCTCATCTTACTCCCCTGACCTTGTGGAAGTCTTGTAACAGAACAAGTTGTGTATGAGATGGAGGCAGGATTTGAAAGGATCGATTGTGTAGATGCCCTTTGCACATTGCTGCAGATTCAGGATTTGGAGACGGGGTTCTCCCCACCTGGGCACGGACGCAGTCGAGGTGTACAACGAGTGCAGCTGTGTGCTGTCACAGTCTTTCTCTGGGGTGGTGACTGCAGAAAATACTCTGAAATCTGGGCAGACTTATTGTAGGATAATTTCCTGGAATCCAGCGGTGTGCTGGGAGGTGGGCTCCAAGGGCAGCTTTTGTGTCAGGCATGTGGTAGGCTTGGGAATGGGTCTGAAAAGCTGGAGGAATGAATACTGGGTTGGTAGTTTGAAGGAGCAGGGTAGCAATGAACTGGAAGAAAGGGTGACTGCTCTGCCTTGTCCGTTTTTTTTTTTTTTTTTTAGTATTGCACTACAGATCTTTACTACATCATTGTAAAACCATGTTTAAAAATGGAATGAGAGCATGGTTTGGCTTTAGGAAATATTTCTATCGCTATTATGATTAAGGGCACAAGATCAAAGGAGTCTGTGGTTGACTTATGCCTCACTTACGCATGTGGGGCCTCACTGAACTTGATGGGAACTGCACACATGCAAGCAAGAAGAATTTGCTCATAATTGGTTTACTGTTTGCTTAAAGAGGCCGGATTTCATGAAGTTTTGTCTTGAACAGTTTTCATTTCCATTTTAAAGCAGAAAAAAAAGCGGAAAATATACAAATAGCAACAATGAGACTTTTTTTTTTGTTTGTTTAAAATCTGCTAAACCAGAGTTTACCTTTCATAAACTCAACTGCAGTATGTTTTTGGGGTTGATGGCTTAAACAATTTGCTGCTCAGAAGGAAGGACCTTAAACAACCAGGGAGGTAAGTTTCTACTTGTCCAGAGACTGTTTCTGCACGTGTTAATACATTCCAAGGCTGTCATTGTGCCTTGTAGTTCAAGGTTTTTCCTTGCAGCTGGCAAGGAACAGCTGAGTAAACTTCACTATGAATTTAAAAAGCTTAAGTAGGGGTTAGCTTCTTAATGTAAAGATCAGAGTATCTCTGGCTCCTCAAGCACAGTGGAGTTGCATGCAAATTAAAATCAAACCTGATGGAATTATTAGTGGTAAATTAGTGAGAATATTTCACTTCAGTATGAACACTGGAGTGTCTCTGAGGGCTTGAGCAGCCATTAGAGGCCTGCGAGAGCTGCAGGCACTGAGCTGGTTTGGATGTGTGTGCTACTGGTAGGAGTATTTCCATAAAGCACTAATCTGACATAAAATCTGATGCAGAATCTTTCAGAAGCGTTCCAAAACTAATAAACATGCTGTTCTTAATCCATCCCATTGTCTCAGTATTACACAGCTTTTCAAACTCGGGAAGCACTTGATGTTGGACTGGAGAAGGGATGAGTACGAGGCATGCCCTTGAACTCAGCAACCCCAGCATGTTTGAGTCAGATTTGTAATTTCCCTGTTAATATTTCAGTACTTGTCTCAGTGCCTATAAAACAAAAAAAAACCCCTGTTCAGTAGTGTGAGAGACGGGAATTAGAAATACAAGTAATAAATTTTGTCTGGCCTGGTCTCTTCCTTTTCTTTTGCTGACTCACCAAAACAGTAGGGCTTGGTGTTTAATTATGTGTTTTTTAGTGGGGGAATATGTGAACCCCGTCAGATGGGAATATACCCATCCCTCTCCGTACAGTCTGTATGGCTGTGTGCTGCTCCATATCCTTAAGGCTTCCACCAAACAGAATCTTTATTTTTAGGCATGCAAAGCTTTCTATCTGTGGTATTATGCCTCCTGAAAAGGCAGGAAGCCATGATGCACTTCAATTCAGTAAGTCTGGATGTGACCTCAAAGAGGAAACCAGGAAAAACAAACAAATAAACATTTGGCTTTTCTCACATATTAGGATAAACAGCATTTGCCTACAACTACCCAAAGCATTTTCAGTCATTTCAGCTCTTTGCAACCTTTCAGCACTTTGAGGGATAAAAAAAATATCTCAAATTATTTTGTAAGCATTAGCCATATTGTTCATCCTTGGCAAAGTAATAGCTATCACTGTTACAGAAATTATTGCCTGCTTTGGATGGTAATTCTTTTCATCAGTGTTGTATTAATCTTTTATTGTATCTTTTTTCCCTCTGTGTTTTTGTCTGAAAAGGTAGACATTGTAGAATAACAGTTCCGGTCTAGGGAGTAATGGTTTGTTGTTTTAGTACCTTGTAGGAGCATAGTAACCTGTTTCACAGATTAAACCTAAAGTTCATGCCCTTGTCCATCTGATCTCTGTAAGATTATGTTTTTTGTCTGTACAGAGACTAAAGGATCAGGCAACATATTTAGTTTTCCTGTTAAAGACATAATTGTGCTCTGATTAACATTCAGGTACCATAGGAAATGCCCTACTCAGATCAGAGGATTTTAGGCTAAACACAGGAAAAAAGTTCTTATAAAATATTAGGAGCAGCAGTTCCGTGTGAGGTTTTACTAGAAATACTGCATAGGCACAGGCCGCTGAGAGAAGCTCAGCTCTTCTGACAGGTTTTTGTTTTTTTTAACCTTCCTGGAGAACAGGTGTCACTTTGGGCAAAATATATTTTTTAATTTGGATGCCATCAAACCCCACAGCGAAGGACAGCGTGGTTGTATGTTGTTCATGTCTTATGACAGCTTCCATCCTTCAGGGGTGGAATGTGCAGTGTTTTGGGTGAGTTGCTGGCCTCTGTGATTTAATTCACAAATAACACTCTGCAGTGTGGTAGACAGCAGGATGGAAGAGCGAGTTTCTTAGCCTTCTCCCAAGAGACACCCTTTAACTGCAGATCTGCTGGTCTGTCCTTGGCTGCACCTTTGTCTGCCTCCATGAAAAGTGCTTCTTGTAGGAGCAGTGTTTTCGGTGTCTGAGGTCACATGTGTGGTCCTGCCCATCCTCGGCCACGTCCCTGTGCCCTGAGCTGTGGCTGTTCCCTGCACTGCCAGATCAAGGGCTGGGCATGGCACATCTGTCAATTGTGAATGTGCTGACTGTGCTCTGGAAACTGAGATGCTTTGTAGTATTCACTAGCCTGAGACAGACGCAGAACACACTGTTGACAGTGGCACCAAAGCAGCTGTACTCCTTTGCCAGAAGCCAAGCCCGTTCAGAGCACCTTAATTTCTAGAAATAGAAGAGGAGAAGGGTTGTGGGCACTTGGGTAAAAACACCTGTAGTATTCTGTTGGCCTCTTGCTGTTATGCCTCATTACATGTGCTGGCTGTTCTTCAGCTGAGAAAAAAGTGAAATGTCTCTTCAGCCCCTGCTTCTTAGGGAAGGAGCGTGGATTCACCTCTCCAGCATCTCGATTTGTGTCTCTCGTTGCATTAAGAATTTTGTTGTGTCCATACTGCTGACCACAGGCTCTTCAGACAGCAGTATTGTAAAGCTGATATAATCCGTGACAGTATCACCACTTCCTGTAGGCTTCTGAAGAGCACTGAGCCTTAACTTAAGGAGGTTTTTTTTCCCTCTCTTTGTGAATCTACTGCCAGCAGCACAGGCACTAGAAATGTGTCCTGGCAGGCTCAGGAAAACATCCTTGAAACAAGTTACATTTGATTCATGTCTGAAGATAGTCTTCACAAACACGAGGGTGAGAAACATAGCTAAAAAAAGTTTAATCGTTTCTTAAACCATCACCTTCTACGGAATTTATTCTGTATTCACCAGGGAAAGCCATCTGTACCCACACTGTCAGGGTTTTTTCTCTTTTTTTTTTTTTTTCCCCAAGTCCTGGGCATATTGCGTTTATAAAAATAGTATTCCCTGTAAACCAGGCTTTGGAAGCCAAACACTGTGAACGTTCAGTGCTACTGTTTTATACTGAGATTTAATTAATGCTGGGATGAGGCACAAGCAGCGCACACTGAGACAGTCTTACAATAATGTTTTACTTTCTGCACCAACTACGTTCATATCTTTTTGTCTTCCCAGAGGCTTACCTGCTTTAGTGAGGGGTATAAATGCACTGAAGAAACCCTCCAGGGTTTAGTATACAGTTATAGGTAATTTAATTGCGATCGAAATTTTTTATTATTTCAGGAGAGGTACTTTTACAGGCACAATAGGTGAAAGTACTCAGAACCCTGAACCCCTGTGTTTGTGTTTAATTTCCAGCTCACAGTTAATGAAGCAGCCGCTCAGCTGTGTGTAAAAGAT